CGCCTGAGGGGCGGTGGACCCCCCCTCCCCCTTTGCTCCCGGTTTCCAGCAGAGCTGGGGCACCGTCTCCAGCAGACCAGGGACACCGGGAGCAGCTTTTCTCGTCCCAGAGGTCGAGGTGGCGGGACCGCTGCCTGCGAGCTCCGGGGCGAGAAAGCCCCGTTCGTAAGTGCGGATCCGACGTAAGTCGGGGACTGCCTGTATAAGCATTTCAAACTGAGTTCCATTAAAATGTTTGGTGTTTACTGCCCTACAGTACTACTGTACCTTACAGTACTACTGTACCTTAGGTTTGTGACATTGTACTTAGAAGCCTAAATGCATCAATACATTAGTAGTCAGTCTGAATAGTGTGCATCAAGGCTGCAGTGGTACCCACAGTGGCTCTTTAACGGTATTCCAAGTACGGAGGAGGCTGTGTGTGCCCATCCAACCCTTCCCCAAGAAGGCTTAGCTTATGCACCATCTGTGCACCATCTGTGTCCCTTTCACTTACCTTTCTTTAGCATGGTCACAATTTCATTTTTATTTCTCCTTTGAGTCTTCCAAAATAGAAGCTATGCCCATTGTAGAGGAATATTTCCTAGAAAGGCTGGACCTAAAAGTCTAAGTACTGTAATAAGATGGGTGAACTAGAGTGCCTTGAATTGAATGGGGATAATGATATAACAGGCACCACTGAAAGCTATTGGAATCAGAATAATCAATGGGACACAGTAGTATCAGGGTACAAAATTGATCAGAAGTGCAGAACAGGTCATGCTGGTGATGGAGTGGCACTATATGTGAAAGAAAGCTCAAATGATGTAAAAATCTTAACTGAACCAAACTGCTCCATGGAATCTTTATGGATAGTAATTCCATGCTCTAATAATATGAATATAGCAGTAGGGATATATTACTGATCACCTGACAAGGAATATGATAGTGAGTGTGAAATGCTAAGGGAGATTAGAGATGCTATCAAAATAAACTCAGTAATAATGGGGGATTTCAACTATCCGCATATTGACTGGGTACACATCACCTCAGGACAGGGTGCGGAGATTAAGTTCTGCTTCTTGGAGCAGCTGGTTCTGGTTTCAATTCATGCTCCTTCGTTGTTAAGCTTCCCACACTCTCAAGGAAGCAGTTTTGACACAGCCCCATATGTATCTTCAATTTATCTCCCTTCATATTATAAACCGCTTTTCAAAAAGAACCATGTGTTTCAAATTCTTTATTATCACCCCTTGCCCTTTTGTACTTCCTAGATTATACTATATTGTAGCACCCAATCAGAGTTGGGTCTGAATTGTACTGCACTCTGCCCAAAACAGTTGAGGTGATGATCCCTGCTTCAAATAGCTTTTAGAGTCCCCAACATGTAAATTGCAATCTACTAGTCAATCCTGGGGACTCTCTCAGTCGATAGCGATCACCAGCTGGCCTGCTGCTGCGGCAGGCTTGCTCCCTACCTGCCCTGGTTCTATGCTGCTCCTTCTGCATTCCAGCCTCCAGTCCCATCCCTGCACTCCCTTTCCTGCCCCAGCCCAGAGCCCATTCCTGCAGCCAAATTCCCTCCCAGAGCTTGCACCCCAACCCTCTGTCCCAGGCTCAGCCCAGGGCCTCCCCTTTATTGTGAACTTCTCAGCCCCAGCCTAGAGCCTGCACCCCCTCCTGAAACCCAATCCTCTGCCTAACCTAGTAAGAGTGAAGGCAGAGGAGAGTGAGCAACAGAAGAGGTGGAGTGATTGGGGAAGGGACAGCGCTTTGGCCAAAATACAGGGTAGATCCTGGATTGCCCATAAATTCAAAAAGTAAACTTGGGCATGAAAGTTGGGAAATCACTAGCTTAGGTGTTTACTGTCTTCATCAGTAGTCTTGCTGCAGTCTAGCTTCCAAAACCAGGCATGGCTCTCCAAATGCCATCTTATCAATAGTACTGAGCAATATTTTTCATGGAATTATTAAAATTTTCCACAGTGAAACAGTTTGAGATATTTTCCATCAGCCATTTTTGTGTTGCCATTTTAGGATCACTTCTGAGCCCTAATTCTGCAAGTGGACCTCTACAGGCAGATCCCTCTTCCTGCCTGAAGCCCTGTGTAGATCACGTTGCAAGATCAGGGCCAAGGTTTGGGTTCTGTTCCCACACTAATATGTTTGTTCTTTTATGATAACCTAGTGAGAGGGAGTCTGACATTCCTGGAAGCAGCTTAGCAATCTGTTCCATTGGAGCTGCCTACAGCATATTACCAAGAGAAAGGGGAGTCTCTTATAATGCTATTTCACTAATGAAGCGCTTGCTGGCAAACACCAGCGTGCTCTCCAGAAACATGACACTGCAAGATAAGACTTACATACACTGAGAGGCATAAACACAGCCACTTGTATTAATCCTGTAAAAGCACACTTCTATAACAGCAGCATGCTGTGTTATGGCACACTGCCGCCTATATTTCTCTGCTTCAGTCTCATGCTCAAGTGATGATAACATGAATGTAGGTCACTCTTCCTTTCATAACCCCCACTTTCTGTATGAGGTAGCATGTGCTTGTTTATTAACATCCATACTAATTAGATGTGTAAGACCCACTTTTAATGTATAGAGAAAACAACCCATCCATTATGATAGCGATCAAAGCTATACAAGATTGGAGATTGTTCCAGAGATCAAAGATGGTCTGTCAGACTTCATTATACAGAAAATAACAGAGCTCTAACTTCAAAAGATTCTGTATTGTCCTTTGTTTCCTCTTGAACAAATAATTTCTGAGAAGGTGGTGCGCCAGCTCATACGAATCTGAATGAATAAACCTTTTGACAGTACAGGTTGGACCTTGCTGGTCTGGCACCCGCAGGGCCTGACTGGAC